ACTCCTTGATATAGCGAGTGAATTTCGATGCTCTAGCTACAACTGTGCTGAGGGCCTAGGAGCTAAGTCGATGTACTTCTACATATGCTTTCGAAAGAGTTTAAGTACCACTGACTGGGAATTACTGAGCAGTACCTGGAATACACGGATGTAAAATTGCATCACAGTGTCAGACCGAACGACAGTTCTTGCACAACGGCGCTAAACTGCTTTTCTAGTGGCAAAATCGGCGCTGTTTTATGGGGCTACACAACGGGCAACAGTGAAACAGGTCACATGTGTAGAAACGAAAGTGCTGAGATAGGTGCGAAGTTATAAAAAGAACATTATTTTCTGTTTTTTAGAAGTCATTGTGAGGATACCCGTAGAGCAGAATGTCAAAACTGTATGAAGTAAACGCAGTGACAATTTCGACAGTACTGAGAAAGTGAACGCAAAAAATGACTGCACATCTTACAGTCCTGAACACTCTGAATCTGCGAGTCGAACTTATTCATCACTTATCACAATCAATAAATGGTATTTTATGGTGACCATCATGTAGTGATTTATCGGGCGATAAACCGATGCCGAGTTTACGGCCGTATCTTATGAACACTGAAAGATGCCTAGATGATTGATCGTATTCCCTGATGTTGTGGTCCACAGTAGCTGAACGACGATTTTCATACTGGGGCATAATGTGTAGGAATCAAAGGGCACTCTGATTAATGATGACAAAACTCAACCGTTCAGTTTAAAAGAAGTGACATTCGATGCTAATTATCTCTCTACTCAAAGCAGTTCCGTGATGGACAGTGGCAAATAGATTCGCGAAGGTGATGAAATTCCGTAAAAGCTCAATTAAACTTTGAGTATTTGTGTTCTTTGTGCGACTTCAATTTCAGTAGTTGAACTACTGTTCCGTAATGAAATTTCTGAATTAAGTAATTAAATTACTGCAATAGCAACGCTAATTAAGGTTGATGTTATTATAGTTGAGCATTTCGACTACAGCATCGTTCAACCTGTTGGAACTCTAGCGGCTATTTCGCGTCTGCCAGTGGGGGCGCTGTTGGCATCGGTGGCATTAGGATTCTGTTTGTCTTTCCTGTTTTTTCTTGATCAGAATATCACCTCAGCAATCGTGAACAATCAGCAAAACAAGTATGGCCAAGCTCTAACGGAAACCGATTATTAACGATGAAATTTAGACTGAGGAAAGGCACGGCGACGCACCTCGACCTGCTCGTCGTGGCCATCCTGAACATCTGCTTGTCCCTGTTCGGTCTACCTTGGATGCACGCGGCGATTCCGCATTCGCCTCTCCATGTGCGAGCGCTCGCTGATGTAGAGGAACGAGTCTCGCAAGGTCATGTCCACGAAGTGTAATACTCTCTTTCGAGGTGCTTGCTTTTTGCCGCTGACCGTTGGTCATTTTCAGAATAACCTATGTGCGAGAAACTCGGCTGGCTTCTCTGATTTCGCATATCCTTATAGGTCTGTCCGCCCTTTGGCTTCTGCCAATGCCGCTTCAGCTGATTCCTCGATCGGTGCTGGACGGCCTTTTTCTATACATGGCAGCAACATCTGTCAACGGGAACGAAATGTTCGAAAGGATTTTGCTGTTGGTTACGGAACAGGTAGGACTAGTCGCCCGTCGCACAATGGCTGACCCCCTGATGTCTAGATATATTTAATTTTCACTAGCTGAAATCTTTTAATGAAAAAAATGTTTCACTACAACTAATAAATGTAAAAATTTTAGGCAGCGTATCCGCCCACACATTACATACGAAGAGTTCCGCAAAGAAAGGTTCACTTGTTTACCGTGTGTCAGCTTTTGCAGTTGGCGGTTTTATGTGCTTTTGGTTTCGCTCCTTATCCGTATGTTGAAATGGTGTTCCCGTTGATATGCTTCTGCTTCTTCCCTATCCGGTATGTCTGGTTAATCGATTTTTTGATATCTTATTTACTGCATTATAATCGATTTAATCTCGTCTAAAGTGAAACACTGTCCAAATGGCATACTTGATCCGAATAATTGCGCAACTGTATCCTCACGATTTTGTTAATTAACAAAGATGGCAATAGGAATAAAAGTTGTAATAATCCTTGCAACTGATTATTGATTCTGTACAATCAACTAAAGAAAAAAATGGAATGGATCGCTTTTGGAAGACTGAAGATGTTTTTTTTCAGGAAACTGTCATTGAGCTTGAAGTGGAAAATCTTCGACAAATTATTTCTAATATATTAATGTGAAACGTTGACTACAAGCGCGAAAGCTGCTCATAAGTTACAGATTATGCAATGCAGCACGGTACCGTGCGTATTAGCAATAACAAGAAAAGATTGGAAGAAAAATGAATAAAATAAAGCATAAGGAAGAGCTTGCCACGTCATCACTAGAGTGAAGAAGTTAAAGTGGCGATGAACTGGACATGTTGCACGAAGAACTCATCAGTGCTGAACCAGATAGAATTCAGATTGAATTCCAAGTGAGAATAAACGACACTGAGAGACCTGAGAGACCTCCATATCGATGGCAGGATGATCTGAAAGATTTTGTTGTATTTAAATGCATGAAAATGGCAGAAAACAGAAGTCCATGGCAAATTCTTGGAGTGGCATTTATTCAGCAGTGGATTAAAAAAAATGACGGATACGGTGTTAGTTAATGTGTCTTTCGGTAGTCGAACACAAAGGATGACGCGTTGCAAATCAGTTAAGATCTTCATCTCAGCAGAAGATTCATTGAGTCAAATGGCACTAAAATCCCATACAAAATCTCATCATCAGTCCCTTAACAATCACTGATGCCCTTCACTACCGATAGGCTGCTGAATCATCAGAATGACGTACATCTGTGGTGTGTCAATAATGACGCGAGTGTGTGAACAGTAAAACATCGTTGTTTTTGCTCCATTTTAATGGCACTGGACTGAAACCATTATGGAAAAGATTCAAGATTCTCAGAACCCCCGCAGCATCTGGAGTAGCTTCAAAAATTGCTCATCACTCAGTGCATAGCTCTTGTATAAACTGCATGGATGAACAGTTCCTAAACCATATTTATATGGTGGTTGAAAAGGTGCAAACATATGGAAGAAGTCTGCTCCAGACTCCATTTGTCTTTTGCCGAAGCTCTGACTCTGGCACAGGATCGGGAACGTTGTAGGCTCTGTCTGACGTGTCTGCTTCCGCGACCGGAAAGGAGAAGCGACGATGGAAGATGAAGATGAAGGTTGGAAAAGAACTCAACTGTGTCGTTATGTATAGAGAAAGCATGGCTTCATTGTTCCGGGGCAGCTTTCATATATTAGCTTTCCACTCCCGGCTGTCATTAGAGTCAAGTATTTTAATTTCTGATACCAGGCTTACTCTGCATATTCGTACTGTCCCCTAAGGTACATAGCGGATCCGTTTGAGCAGGCCACAGATAAATGATATTTGAACATCTGCATTGAAATGAACGCGATATCGCATTTCTGAAAGGCTACTGTGTCGTTAAGCACAGCATCAAATGTTGTTTCATCAGGAAATATGCAGCTGCTGACTTTTGGTCTGCTTCGTAAAAAATTTTTAAGGTTAAGCTAACGCTTTCATATATTGTTTATACCTACAGCGGTTGCGTTCTTCCGGTCGTACCGTATTTTTATCACTTGTTGACAATCAAAACAAATTATACAATATTCGGAAGTTTGTTTACTCCGATCCCACCTTCAGCTACTTGCGGATACCGAGTGCCTCTGACCTGTTATGTCGACCGCATTGCCAATACGGATCTTTCAATGCTTTTCGTATCAGCCAGGTTTTACGGCGTGTAAGCTGACTTGACTCTAAATCTTCTTGATCTAAATTACATGCTGGCCTGTTGGTCGACGCCGCTTGTGTTTCATTTTCTACGTGAGAGGTTTAGGTTGGATTGGAACATTTTTACTCAACCAATTTGTCGAAGACTTACCCAGGTTTTTCCATCTTTGAATCCAATGAAGATACCTGTTTCAGGGGCAGATTACATTCATTTCTGAGTGACACTGTCACGTAAGGACCGATGTCGCGGGCCATGTTGTTTGATCTTTGATTTCGGCCCTTTGCTGGAACAACAGCTTTCATAGTATAGCAGCACTGGCCTGCCAGAAACGAGGTACAAGTGAGCACTTTATGGAAAGCATCAATTAGATCAACGGCGAGTCTTCCATTACAGCACAAATTAATGATACTGAAGCATATAATAAATAAGCACTAAATAGCAGTAATACGAAAAATGACCAAGACCGTCGCATCTGCCAGGAAGGCGATATGACAAAGAACAAAATCACACCGTCTTTAATTTATGCCCTAATCTAAATTGTAGAGAGACTACCGACAGCACTGGAAACAAATGTGGTAATTCTGTTGTTGGACAGTGACTCATAGGTACCGTATTGACGAGATCTTTACTAGCCGGAAGCCTCATGGTTATCGGTGGGTGCAAATTAACCACGCCAATCCATAAGGAGGAGAAAGTTCTATATGCATCCATAAATCTCGAATTATTTTTTTGATCTAAAAATTCAACGAACATATACTTTAAACAACCACAAGTAGTTACGAACATAAATAGTGTAACAGGCTGAGGGTTTCGAATTAAGCTAATTAGGTCATTAAGCTTTCTGTTTCAGTCAGATTTTTTTTTAAAAACTGTATGGCTTAGAAGCAAACCTGTCGAAATCAGGGTATGTGGTGTTTAATAATCGCTTGA